TGATAATGTCCCAATAAGCAGTATCTTTGAAAGAGACCAACCACAACAGTTTGGAGCTGACAATTACAGAATACCAAAAAAGAAGCTGATATTCTGCATAATCAATTCTCAATGTAGAACTTCAATTCTTGTCTACTACAGGGGTGGGCAAACTACCACCCGCTGGCCACATCCAGCCTGTCGGACCTTTTAATCAGGCCCTCGAGCTCCTGCCAGGGAGCAGGGTCGGGGGCTTTCCGTGTGGCTCCTGGAAGTAGTGGCATGCCCCCCCTCCGGCTCTTATGTGTAGGGTCAGCCAGGGCCAGGGGGCTCCGCACGCAGCCCCCACCCCAAGTGCTACCCCCCACAGCTCCCATTGGCCGGGAACCAATGGGAACGGTGGCTGTGGACGGGGCAAAATGCAGAGCCGCCCGACGCCGCGCCTCTGCGTAGGAGCCGGAAGAGGGGCATGACGCTGCTTCCGGGAGCTGCATGAGGTCAGCACCACCTGGAGCCTGCACCCGAGCCCCCTCCCCATGTTCCATCCCTCTGCCCCAGCCCTAGCCCTAGCCCTGATCCCCATCCCTCTGAACCCCTTGGTCCCAACCCCCAATTTGTGAGCATTCATGGCCCGCCATACAATTTCTATATCCAGATGTGGCCCTCAGGTCAAAAAGTTTGCCCACCACCGGTCTACTACATTCTGAGCAAAATCCTTATTGCCATCAGAATTCTGTGAAGGTGAAATTCACACATTTCTTGACTCAAAATATTCACATTACTTTGTTAATTTTTTTCTTTCATTTTTAAAAAGAGGGATATTACATTTCTGAGGTTTTAAACTCAGTAGTATTAACTGAGAATGTCTCAAGGCTTAAAAAAGTTATTTGCAAGAACCAAGTTATGCATGTTTACAAATTACTGAGTATGTGTAGAGGTTTGTTAAGTTTTAAACATGCACTTAAAGAGGTGCAAGTCTGCTTATGAACTTAGACACAGATTCTAGTAGTTAAACTAAATTCCAAACAGGTTTAATGACTCCTTGCCATCTCCAACAGCACAAGGGACAACTGGTCTTGCATTTACACATTCCTTCATCTAGTTAGGGGATGGTCCCATGGTCCTGTCTGACACCAGAACTTCTGCCCTGCATCAATCAATCAGTTCCAATTTATGTCTGGTGAGCAGGGCTCACCTTTAACTCTTCATTCCTAAGGTGAGTGACTGACAGGTGTCTTTCTGAGGAAGAGGTAGTGGGAGCAGGAAGAAGTAATCAGGAAAGCAGTCACATAGGAAGAAGGGAGAATGGGAGTGAAAGGAGCTTTAGATTAAGAAAAGGAAAACCTAACCAGCTGAAAATCTGAAAGTATAAAGCCAAGTCAATGGCAGAATCAAATAAAAAATAGAAAAAGAAAAAAAAAAGAGAAAAGTAGAAAACCTATGATATCAAAAAATATTTAATGGAAAGTTTAGTACAAAAATATTGAAGACAAGGCACATTCTTGTTTGATTTAACGATCTGGGGGCACATTTCTAAAGAATGAAGGGGCCTGAGAGCCACAAATGAGGACAGACACATAAGCCCCAATATTTTTTATACAGATGGGATAAAAGATGTAAAAAGTTATGTTTGCATTTTTGCAAATGTTGAGTATTTGTACTGTGTATTTACAAGGAGTACATGAAGGACTTTGGGATACAATGATACTGGTGACTTTAGGGCACAGTTGCTTTTGTTTGTTTGTTACAGAACACAATTTGGCACTGGAAAATTACAGATGAATGTGAGCTTACTTTTTTTAAGTAAAATCTTCATCTTGAAATGTCTAACTTCCAAAAAGGAAGGAAATTGCACAAGATATTTCAAAACTTTCCAAAGGAAGAGAATTCCTGGGCCTTTTACTTTAATTTGCATTTTCAATCAATTACAATTCTCCATAATGGTCAAATCTAGACGGTGGCACGTACAGGAATGTACCCATACACAGCTGTCCTCATTCAACTCCCCTTTAGCTGTCTTCCATTTAAGGAGAAATCTGATATATTTTTCCAGTATCCTTCTCTTCCCTATGCTGTTAGTCACCATAAGACAACATCTTATAGTACTCTATATGATGTTGATATCCAACATCACAATAGTTTGTGAGCTTCTTCCACCTATCTTGAGCTACCAGTGATGGTGGCATTCCTTGTGTAGCTCTCACAGCTCTTGGTTGTATTCTAAACTCTTCCTTCTGTATTGACTAAAGGCAGAGAAAGCAGTACCATGCTGTGGGTCAGAGCAGTTTTACATATCTACCACAAAAAAGGTGCCAAGCTTTGACACTGGCCATGTGAACAGTAAGACTGAAAAAAATCAATGGACAGTACTCTCTGCTGACCCAATTCAACTCCTTGTTTGAGAGCTGAAATATGATTCTATATTCAAGAAGCTGATGATGCTCTGTAATACCACTAGAGGTCAGTAGAGCAACATTTTGATTTCGTTTACTGGTTTCTTTTAATTACAGTACTTACGTGGTCACAATCACATTGAAATTTACAACTTTATTATTAATGTCAATTCTGAGTTGCTTACGATCCTCTTGGGATCCTACAGGAAGAAAAAAATAGACACATTAGTACAATATTTTTTGTGCATTAACTATCTGTATTTAAACTATTATCTTGAAAACTCTGTCCAATGTCTATTTCATGTTCTATTATGTTGCACATGCAGCCACATTATCAGATTAGCCTTAAAACTTATGTTTTTGCTTCTGTATTTTGAAGACTAATAGATTTCTTACCATAATAAAAAAGGACATCAAGAGCAGGACACCACAGATTAACCTCTCTTATCCAGTTATCTGTAAAAGATTATTAAAAAGCAATATATGAATCTTATATAAACTAATACACTTGGCAACACATTTTAGGTTTCTTCAGCACTAGACTAAAAATCAGTTAAAAATCAAATAAAATTATATTGAAGCAAAAATGTGATATTGTTTTATAAATTTCTGTGTTATAAAATCTTGCAATGTTAAAAATAGCTGACAAAGATACTACATATTTCCCACGTTCACTGGAAACTAATATACAGGAGCTTGGGAATTAAGAAAAGGCCAGGTTTTTTACATAATTCAAGGAAACATTTTTAAAGAGGATTTTCATTACTCCTGTACAGCTCACATTTTAGATGTAAATTTACAAGGACTCAATTTTTTTCTGCTCATTAACATCATGATGTTTGATATAAAACAGTATTAGTTAAAACTCAACTTCCCAGTGCAGAATACTCAGACTCTGGGCTGAATGGACATTTATTTCTCTAAAACAATTATTTCTAGAGACCTTTATTTACAAGTGCCTCATCACAAAACTTGATGCAGGAATTGGAAAAGGGATAGAAATTCTCTCACATCTACGTTGAAGTCCAGGCAGATAATGATAAAAAGTTGTTGCTGACAATCTTACTGAGTCAAACTGACAGCTGTGGTTGTATGTGACACATGGGTTGGTCTCAATGGACAGATGCCCAAATCATCACAACTGGCATCTCTGCAGACAGGTCTAAGGACCAAATGGGGATGGAGACTGAACTACCCTATAGCCTCCTAGAAGGGACCTTTAAGACAGGATTGAGGTATCTTGACAACACAGCTATAGGTACCTTGCTCTTGCCCTCCCCACACTATACTTTTTTTTGGCCAAGGACTACCATCTCTAGAGCTATCAATTTGGCACCTTTCACAAGTCTTTAAAAATCACTTTAAAAATCCAAGAAAGCAGATCTTTCACTGTACATCTTTTAGATGTAAAGAAAAGATATCCTTTTAATTATTGGAATAGATGGACTCAATTGTAAAAATGCACATTTAAATGAAGCTATTTTAGACAAGCAAGAGGGTCTAAATTAAAATAGAGACAAGCTGGGTGAGGTAAAATCTTTTACTGGCCAATTTCTGTTGGTGAAAGAGACAAGCTATTTAGCTACACAATACCATAAATTAAAATAAGCAGTTTAAAACCTGGAAGTTATAAATGATTTTATTTAAACATCAGCTAGGAAGTTACCCAACTATAAATCTTGCCTACGGGTCATCAAAGCAAACAAGCTGTTAAAAAATTCCACAAAATTGTTTTACGGTAAGGGAAATTTTGTTCTTTAAAAAAAGGAAGAAAATTGCGCGCGAGTTTAATAATCATGAAAAAGCAAGAGATTGATAGCTCTGCACAGAGCCCGTCATTTTTAGGGATCTGGCATACCTTTGCAAGGGATTCTGTAATGCAAAAGGGGTCCGGTAATATTTTTTAAAAATGAAATCTACCCTTAAGTTAAGTGATCGTGGTAGAGAAATAAAACACCAATTACATCAGTCTTATTCTGTGTTAAGTGACTGGAATCTACCAAAGTTAGAGTAAAATTAACACACTAGCACTGCATTAAAATTGTAGCTGCATTTTGCAAAATATACATAATTTTTTTTAAAGTATCACTTTTGTACCTACTTACAACCTGTAATTTCAATGCAAGTGTCTTAAAGGAAATTCAGTATCAATATAGACTATGGCTTCAACTCAGTTTAACAGCTTTAGTTTCAACCACTGAGGGTATATCTATACTGCAATTAGACACCCACGGCAGGCCCATGCCAGCTGACTTGGGCTCAGGCTGCGGGGCTATTTTGCAGTGTAGGCTTTCAGGCTTGGTCTGGAACCTGGACTCCAGGAGCCTGCGAGGTGGGAAGGTCCAAGAAGTCTACACTGCAATTAAACATCCCTGCAGCTCAAGCCCCGTGAGCCTGACTCAGCCATGGGTGTCTAATTGCAGTGTAGACATACCCTTAGAAAACTCAACATTATCGTAAAGAAATTACATCACCAACTTTCCTCTGAAGTAAACATGATTTATATATAAAGATGTGATCGTAAAACTTCAATCTGCAGAATCTTTTTATTAGTGAATCAGGATTGTTTTATTTCATTACAAATACTTGTGAAATCCTTGACTTACCTAAAGTTGAAGCTGGCACAACAATCAAATGAGGACCTTTATCACCCTCTTGGTAGAGGTATGCCAGGAATGCTATAGCTTGTATTGTTTTTCCTAAACCCTAGGAAGAAACATTAACAGTTTAAACTAAAATTGATATATAGTCATTGTAAAAGTAAGAATAGTTGGGACTAATGAATTGATAACTTAATATTTTTCAAGTGTTTAGATATGGTCAGAGGAAAGGTGTAACAAAAATAAAAAATATTAGTGTTTAACAGCTATATTTTAGACAATATACTTCCTGAAACTCACCTGAATAGGAGAGTAATCATCCTCTAATCATTTAATGACTCTCTTCCTCTGAACCTTAACTCATTACAGATTAATCTGTCTTTTCATTTATTCTTATCCATTTATAATGTTCTCATTTTAAATTTTAATCTGTCTGCCCCCTTTTACTTGTCTTCCCACAGCCTGTGGTACTGATGTGCAGACCATTATTTGGAATCCAGAGCACTCCTTTGAGTGCCCTATATAAAAAGGACCATCTTTGTAAAGAGTATTCCGTGTATTTACGGCAAGAGTGATATAGACGAGGATTCTGAAGAGAAATTTAGTAGAAAGCTCTTCGCCATAGGAGTAGGCGTCTAGCAACTTTTACTGTACTGTCTTTTTGTGTTTTCTATTTAAAATACTTAATACTTATCTACCCCACACACAGAAGTATTAGTAGGATTAATGTCAAGTGTAGGGTGAAATACTTGGAAATCAAGGAACATTATTTGAGTCCTAATGATATCCACAGCAATAGCACCAAGCATATCACTTCTTGTAAATTTAATCAAGAGAGTGTCAGAATTACAGGTGACAGCCACTTAAGAACCCAGAAATCCATAACCTTCTCTCTCAAACCATTTCAAACCCAGAGACACAGGGAGAAGGGAGTTCACAGCTAACAGCCAAATGCTGCGGGGGGGAAGGAAGGGAGAAGTTAGTGGGAGGATAGGGGCTCTGCTATTCTACCTTTCTCACAATCTTCTGGCTGTTTTAGACGTGGTGAAGAGAATTTGAAAAATTTATTATGGGTTAAATTACAATCTGGTACTCGACACCTGAAATGTATGATGTTATCGCAGTGAGAAACATCTTCTTGTTCAAGAAACCTTTTTGCTATGTGAGTGGCTTCCACTACCCAAAACCATCATCTGATCCCCAGTTATCCAATGCTATGAAATTCAAGCCCTTCTTTCGTAAAGGGATATTGCAATTTGAATAACTGCGTAAAACAAAGGAACTTGTGATTTCCAAATTTAAATTAATTTTACAATACAGTATGAATGCAATTGTCTCACAATCTCATTTCTACTTCTGACTTACAATAAATATTAATGGCATAGCCCTCAGAATATTTAAGGACACTTTTTATTGTGAGATTGTGAGTAATAGTTCACTAGTTACAGCTACAGTAACTCACAATTAATTTAAGGAAAGGAAAAAAATTCAAAGCAACAGTTTTAAAGTGATTTTCCACTGGTAAAGTTTTTCAACTAAATCAATGTCAAGTTACTAATTTGTGGTTACGGAACACATCATTTAAGGGTAATATATGAACTATTTAGATAAAAGTAGGTCAGATGAGCAGCTTAAAATTTCTTAAATATTCAGTTTTCTACTTACCATTTCATCAGCTAAAATACCATTCAATCCATGTTTATGCAGTAGCGCTAGCCAGTTCAAACCTATCTTCTGATAGGGCTTGAGCTCCATACTGAAAAAACAGAATAGTTTACAATTTTAGCCCCTTCTGATTGTTTCTATATGAAAGATTTTCACAAAAATAATAAAATTTCTACAATTATCATCCTAACAGTTTATTGTAGTATTTCCTACCATTTATTCCATCTGAGGCCAACTTGGGAACCAAGAATTCACTTTCAGGAGTCCTGACAGTCTCTCCCAGCCCATGATCACAAACAAAATGTCACGTCACTTCAGTTTAAAAATTGTTTTTAGTTGTTTGAATCCATTACACATTTTAATAATTATTTTAAAACAATGAAACTATAATGTTTTCCTTTAGCCCATTTATATTGGGTCTGTTTTTTTTTTAAATCAGTAACTGGCATACAATAGTTATTTAAAAACATGGAAAAACCATTTTAGTTCTATTATAGAATCTGTGATGCACCTATTGGTAAAGCAGAACAACTAATTAGCAATCTCTCAGACAGTGACCCTCTTTAGAAAGTTTATTTTCAGAAGTAAAAACTGAACAGGAGACTAAAGAAGAAAAGTAGGGTATGCGGTCAAGAAGGATAATCCATTTTTCAGTTATAAACACCCTGTGAAAGTGTTAGCTCTTTTTTTTTTTCTTAAACACCCAAAACAAAACAATTCAACTAAAATATCTATTTGTTCTTTTAATCAGAGGTGTAAACAGTCCATCCAAAGTTACTACTATACACTACACACAGGGAATTTTTGGTGACCATATAGCGCGCACAAGACCTTACGCTCGATTCCTGAAAATTGCTCGCTATGGGTGGGCTGCTCTACAGCACTGAGGTCAAAAGGGGCTCCTTGGTGGGTTTAGGCATCAAGCTGTGCAGAGTAGCTTGTAGGATCCAGGCCTCAGTTTGCAAGATCTCATTCAAAACAGAGCCATACAGCAAACTGCACAGAACTTATTTTTATGTGCTTTGGGAAGTTGAAAGGTTGAGTCAATTCTGACGGATTCTCAACATCAAGTCAACTTCAGCAACCCTTTCAGGTTTAACAGTACAGTGCTTTGGCTATCCCATGGCTCTCTATCACATCCCAGCCATATAAATAACACCCAGTGCCATCCTCTTAGACACGCTAAAGCCAGGCTTTTTTATTTTTAAAATAAAAACAGCAGTAAACTGGAAGGTTTTTTGCTCTATTAAACCCTGTAATGCACAATACCCTAAGCCATTGCGGAGACTCTTCAATAACAACATTTCAATAAAACTTGTTGTATTAAAAAGTTGGGGGGTTACCAGTTCATGCATGAGTAAGTCTCCCTCACACATGAATGGCAGAAACTCCCATTTTTACCTTCTTTTGTGTCCCTCCCACAAAGATTTTTTTTTTGTAAACGTATGACAACCCAGTGCATGTACCTTTTAAAGCATGAAGGAAATCCTTTTGGGTCAGATGTACAAAAATAGGTTCCTAACCTCTCAACTCTATTCAGGTATATAAGGTAAGTAGGAACTGATTCCCAAAAGTGCTGAGCACAAAGCAGTTCCTATTTAAGTCAAGGGGGCTGTTGCATGTTCAACCATTTTGAAAAAAATCAGTCCATTTATTTAGGTGCCTAAACATGGTCTTGAACACCTAATTTCAGGCTCACATTTTTGAAAATCTCTGCCTTCACATGACCATAGTATCAAATAATTTTTTCTGTATGTCAGATAGTATTCAGATGTACCTTTGATTCAGAATGGAAGGTTGCTCTATATTCCATCCACATCCTCCATCTTCAGTGATCCTGGTAACTTGTTTTGTCAATTTATTTGAAATGTCTTCACATTTGTTCATGAGTTTTAGAACCACATCTCTCTCTTTGAGCAATATTTTGCAGTTCCATATAATATCTTCTGATAATCCATTTGTCTTACTCATTTTTGTAAACTATTAAAAGAAAAAAATACACCAATTGACACTGATACAAAAATTAAAAATGACCGTCAAGGAGCTGAAACACATTGTTTTATAACTCTATTCTTTCATAAACACTGTATGAGTCATTTTTCGTAAGAAAAATACATATAAAGGTTATTACATCATTGCCAGTGTGAACTTTCGTTGCTAATGCTCTTAGTTGAATGTGCTTCCTTTCATTCCTGTTAGCAGCTGAAGGAACAATCCCTAGACCTGTTTCAAAGAGGGGCTTTTTTTTTGGGCTATCCTTTAATAATACCTGTAGAGTTTTGCGAAATTCAGCTCACGTTCCCTGAGTTCTTGAAGGGCTTCGAGACTATACATAATGGTGTTAGTGGTAAGAATTATGGTGGTATGTGAGCAGTTTGGCTCCTATCCTTTGGACAAAGAGCCTTCTTAGACAAGAGAAGCAAATACTAAAAAACTGCTCCAAACATTTCTTCAATATTTCATACTGTGACTTCTTAGGTCCACTACATTAATTTGCTTAGGAACATCATTTTCTTTATGGCTTCAAGACTAGAGGTATTCAATATGTGCACTACAGGTGCTCTTTTTATTAAGAAAAAGATTACTCATTTATTGAAAACACATACCTAGAGCTGCTCCCCTGTAATGTTTTACATTCAAGAGTTTCAATCAGCCCCAGCATTACAGGGTATAGATAGCACGTCCCACTGTGGCCTCTGCAGACCCAGGAACAGATCTGCTGGAAGCCAAGAATTTGAGAAGACCTGGCTCAGGAGCTTGACTGACCACTAATGTTGATTTTCAATAAATCGCAGGAGACTGGGAAAGTTCCAGAAGACTGGAAGAAAGCTAATGTTACCTCAATTTTTAACAAGGGTAAGCGGGATGATCTGCGTGATTAGACAGACATACAGGCCTGTCAGTCAGGCCTGTCAGTCTGACATAAATCCCAGGCAAAATAATTAAGCAGCTGATAGGGGACTTGATTAATGAAGAATAAAAGTAGGGTAATATAATTAATGCCAATCAACGTATTTCTGGAAAATAGATCCTGTCAAACAATTTTTTTTTTAAAGGAAATTACAAGTATGGTTGATAAAGGAAATAACGTTGGCGTAATATACTTGGACTTCTGTAAGATGTTTGACTTGGTAGCCCGCAAGATTTAAATAAAAAACTAGAATGGTATAAAACAAACACGGCAGACATTAAATGGATTAAAAACTGCCCAAATGATAGGTTTCCAAAAGTATCTGTAATCAGGGAATCATCATCAAACAAGTGTGTTTACTGTGAGGTCCCACAGGAACAAGTTCTCGGCCCTACACTAACATTTTTATCAAATGAGCTGGACGAAAACAAAATCACTAATAAAGTTTGCAGAAATTGAGAGAGAATGGTAAATCATGAAGAGGACAGGTCACTGATGCAGAGTGATCTGGATCGCTTGGTAAATTGGGCACAAGCAAACAATGTGTGTTTTAATATGGCTAAATGTACAAGTATTCATCTAGGAACAAAGAATGTAGGCCATACTTACAGAATGAGAGAGACTATCCTGGGAAGCAGTAATTCTGAAAAAGATTTGGGGATCATGGTGGATAATCAGCTGAACATGAGTTCCTGGAGTGTACAAACGGGAACCTTGAGGAGGAGTGGAGAGGTTATTTTACCTCTGTATTTGGCACGGATGTGACCACTGCTAGAATGCTGCATCCACTTCTCATGTCCACAGTTCAAGAAGGACGTTGATCAATTGGAAAGTGTTCAGAGAAACGCCACGAGAATGATTAAAGGATTAGAAAACATGCCTTAGTGATAGATTCAAAGACCTCAATCTATTTAGCTTAACAAAGAGAATGTTGATTACAGTCTATTAGTACCTACATAGGGAACAAATAGTTAATAATGGGCTCTTCAAATCTAGAAGAGGAAGGTATATTATGATTCAAAGGCTGGAGGTTGAAGCTGGACGACTCAGACTGGAAATAAGACACACATTTTTAACATTGGTGCTATTTACCCAGGCTGGCAGTACACTGGTGATTTTTAAATCAAGATTGGATGTTTTTCTAAACAATGTGCTCTAGGAATTACTTTGGGGAAGTTCTATTGTCTGTGTTATACAGCAGGAGATAAGACAATCACAACGATCCCGTATGACTATGTAATCTATCAAATAGAAATATACAAAAATATGAAAATATAATGAAAGCTGGCAGAATTTAAGGACGTTTTTGTTCACCATTCTATTTGTCCTTCCTTTCAGATTTTAATGCTAGATATTGTAACAAACGAGGATTACTTAATATACTCACACCTTAAGCTGAGCAAGTAAAAATTACAAGCGTCAGTATCAACAGAAAATGCTATAAAACTAGGGATAATATACCAAGGTTTGCACAGACAGAATTTATAAAAAAAATTATATTCATAACATGACAATTTAGCAGGGAGTTCACAGTCTCCAAAAGTAACATTTTTAGTTTTAGATACTTTAGATACTTTAGGATTTGAGGCAAACAAAATTAGACTAATTTTCACTTTTCTCCAACCATTTCCTCACTTGAGTCATGGGTCTGGCCACTACTCTGACCACTTATGGGGCAGCATACATTTGAACAGCACCAGTACTTAGATCCAAGTCCCAGCCTATGACTTCTCCTAAAAGATCTATTCCTTCTCCTTTAGGAAGCCAATTTTGTTGTTGTTGTTTTTGTGGGGTGCAAACAGAGGAACTGGGTGGAGGGGCTCCACGGAGTTTAACCATGCCGATGAGAGTAGTAAGTAATTGGGTGCCACCACGTCACTGGATGCCACCATAACATTGGAACTGCTCTAGGCAGCCAACAATTTCTTTTAAAGAGCTACATAGGGGGAAGGGTTTTCCCATGAATATCTCCTGACCAGCTGCCAGGGGCAGCTTCCTTACCCTGCAGTGATGACACAGCTCTCAACAGGCTCCCTAGTTCTTAACCACTGATCTCCTGCTGCCAGCATTCATCTCCCTCCAGTTCAAAGAATGCATGTGGCTTACAGGGGAGGAGTGGCCCATTTCTCTGTACTATCCTCCACCTCCCAAGCTGAAGCCTTAGGCAGCAGCGAAGAGAAGAGTGCCCCTTCACACAGAAAAAAAAATAACCACCACCAAGGACTATGGCTGTCAGTGTTCTGGGTGCTGCTGTGAAAGCTGCTTCCAGCATCAGAGCACCATCTTGACAGAACAAGGAGCAATGGTCTCAAGTTGCAGTGGGGGAGG